TGGTGAGGCTGTGGAGGAAAGGGAACCCTGGTGCACTGTTGGTGGGACTGCAGATTGGTGCAGCCATTATGGAAATCAGTATGGAGATATCTCAAAAAACTGGAAATAGAACTACCGTATGACCCAGCAATTCCAGTCTTGGGTATCTCTCCAGAGAAATCAAAGATGCTAATTTGAAAAAAATATATGCACCCCTATGTTTATTGCAGCGCTATTCACAATAGCCAAGACTTGGAAACAACCGAAATGCTCATCGGTAGATGACTGGATTAAGAAACTGTGGTACATTTATACAATGGACTATTACTCCACTATAAAGAATGAAATCGTACCATTTGCGACTGACATGGCCCACGTATCAAAGGAGCACTCCTGACTCATCAGCCAAGAGTCTACTGAGAGGGTACCTGAGAGGATTGGGTGGGAGACTAGAAAAGAAAGAAAGTAGAGATGAAATCTGGGAACAGGAGGTCCACCCAATGCTGATAGCAGAGAGTGGCCCCATTTATTGTTTACACACAGCTTTTATACCAAAAGTAACTTTCCTTAGGTAGGGGAGTTTTGGGAACTTGAGGGAATAGTCCCCTCCTCCCAGGAGACACCTCCCCCGGGGCTTTCCATAAGGTGTAGAGAAGCAATCTTCCCAGGGTTAAAGTAAAACATAAGCAGAAACTGTTAATAGGATGGCATTCCACTCTAGCTTTCAAGGCCGTTGGCTGTTTTCTCCTCAGTGGCCAACCTTCCCACGCTGCTCACCCCGGGCCTGAGAGCCTGTCATCCTGCCAGCTTTCAGACTTAACCCTTACTATAAACCTCCAGCTCTCAGGCTTAACCCTTACTACAAACCTCTGGCTCCCTCCATCTCCCCCTTTTTTATTTATTATTTAAAGGCAAACCTCTGATTTACTGAGGCTGTGGTTGGCATCGTGGTGACTGTGTCTACCTTGGGTCATCCTCCTCGAGGAATGGAATCTTACCCATCATGGGCTAACCAGCCATCTCATGGCTAGGGTCTGTCTTAGGCTCATCCTTCCTGGTGGGATCTTACCCGTCATTGACTATCCAGTCATCCTATGGGGCCAGCCTCGCGAAGCCAAATCTAGGGGTGGGGATGGAGTATAACTGCCGGACATAAAGAGTATTAACTAGAGGGTGAGCAGTGGGGCTATACAGAGAACTAACACCATCATGGACAGGCGTTTCATCTCCATCATGAGTCGTGTGCGATGAACCTCTAGGCTGATTGCCTGAAGGTAAGATTTCAAAACTGCTTGGCAAACTGAAACAAAGCACAATATTAGAAACAAGAGAACTACAATCCCTACTAAAGTCCAGGTGATAGTCTGGACAATGGAAATTGATTTCAACTTGTTAAATGTGTTAATTACATCCTTAGCTAGATCTTTTGGGTTAGTAATATCCAGTTTGCTATCCTGCATAGGAATAATTTCTTTGTGAAGCAAGTCAAGGTCGATACTAAGATTTGTACTATGCCAAATGCCCTGAAGGTGATTAAAAATGATGTTCCAATTCCACTGGATACAGTTATACTAATAACGAGTGATGCAAATCCCTCAATACTTAGCATGACATCGGAGAGCAAGATAGCAGCGTACGTCCTCAACTTTATTACCTATCTGAAGAACAACGTCTTCCAATGCACTAAGGCGGAGTTCCATTTTTGTATCTATATCTTCTTGAATATAAAGCGCTGAAGAAGCATTTTGAGCAAGCTGTTCAACATAATCTGCTGTTTTGATAGAATTGATTAAAGATACAGTGGCTGTAATTGCCGTGGCTATGATAGAAATAACTGCTGCAAGTCCTGCTATGATGAGTCCGAATGCCCATCGTTCTCGGCTTAAACCCGTGTTTATTTCTTCAAGGGCTCATATCCCTGGGTCATCATACCAAGGTCCCTCAATAGTAGTGGGAATGACAACATAAGGTGGTTGACGAAGGACTAGCATAGACTGTCCTTTGTCCCTTGGATCAATACAGTTGGTGAGATGACAATTTGGACAGGAAATATTAGACATAGACTGAGCCTTACTAATCTGTATCCCTCCAACCAAAATGACACTGGGGGCTTGGACACAGGCAGTAATGGTGTAGTGCTTTACATCCTGGCCCCAGGGTGTTTGAGAGTTAAGGTGAGTTATATAATCTGAGGCTGCCCATAGCCTCCAGTTGTCTCCTTGGATAATGGGTATGTTTGGGGTCAGTACAAGGGCAACAAACCCTTCTGGTTTGGGGAGCTGTGTCCCTGTACTATAATAAGGGATGGCCCAATCAGAGACACTAAAGTGCGAGTCTGGTAGCTGATAGCTTGTAGCTATCAGATAGGCACAATCTCTCCATATGATATGACCGTCATTATATTGATAGGGGCTTTGCATGCACAGAGGGAGCAGCTTCTGTGCGCCTGCTTGTTGAGGCTGCCTTCCTGACGGTCCTGTAAAAGTTAACTCTGATCTGTATGTTAGGTATGGATTGTGTCTATCTTTCCCTGAACTCTTTTTTGTTATGTTTTCCAAATGAAGGCATCCCATCATGGGTGTTTGGGAGGCACAAAGTGGAGGAAGCCGGGACAGACCAACATAGTTAAAGGCTGTCTGTTGAAAGGTTAAGTTTTTTGTCCTGCCTCCAAGTGGGATGGAAGAATTAATCCAAACTAGGACTGGCTTGATTTCCCACGTCACGGGAGCAAGCATCGGGGGGTTTGGGAAATACGTCCAATACGTGTCCTCCCATGTTATACTTACCTGCCATGTCAGAATAACCAATATTGTAATTAGGAATTTATTAAGCTTAACCTGTTTCCAGGTTTGGGCTGATCTCTTTCTCGCCCTCCTGGACTGTTGGCGCTCTGGTTTCTCCATGGTGCTGTTTGACTAGGCGTTCTGGAAGCCACCAAGGACCGTCCACTGTCCTAGGAAAAACACAAACATGTCCTTTCCCCTACACCAGGACCGGATCCGGTCCATGCCAACTACCCATGAGGGGGTCTTTCTAGCAGACAAGAGCCTCTGCAGCAGGACTGGAATTCCAGAAATGGTCTGCTGCAGAGTGACCTTGAGCATCTGTTTGTAAAAAATTTAAAGTGAAAAGTGCATGATTTAGTTGGTTGTATACTGAATTCCCATAGTCTCCCCCTTTTTGTTTTAATAATTGATTTTTGAGTGAGCAATGAGAACGCTCAATAATTCCCTGACCCTGTGGGATATATGGAATACCTGTGAGGTGTTGGATCTGAAAAGTTAAGCAAAAATTTTTAAAAGCCTTGCTAGTATAGCCAGGTCCATTATCAGTCTTTATGACTTTTGGAATGCCCATAGAGGCTAATGCCTGGAAACAGTGACTGATAACATGTTTTTTTTTGCCTCACCATAATGTGCTGTGGCAAATAAGAACCCAGACTTAGTGTCAATAGTGGTATGAACATAAGGACTACTTTTAAAACTAGGGATATGAGGGGCCGGCCAAGTGGCACGTTGGTTAAGAGCTGGCTTGGGACGCCAGAGGGTCCTGGTTCAGATCCCACATATGAGGGCCAGTGACACTGTCTTCTACAGCTAAGATGCTGAACAACAGCTCAACCTGGAGCTGGGTTGCCATGAGTCACCAGAAATAGTGTGGGCTGCAGCCCCTGCTGCAGTGGGTTGCCATGAGCTACCGTGTGTAGCTAGCAACCAGCATGAGCGGCCCTCAAGCCGCCATGAATGGCTGTCCAGAAGTTGGCAACTGATCTGCCTCGCCCAGGAAGAGCACAATTATGGTGCCAACTTGGGCCAGTGAAGCAACGTCCTCCACAACTAGACTGAAGAACAAAAGGACAGCAACTTGTCTGTTCCCCTTCCCCAATTCCCCAGCGCTGTTCCCATCCCTCAATTCTCCAATTAAAAAAAAACTAGGGATATGAGTAACATCCATCTGCCAAATGTGATTTGGAAGTAACCCTCAAGGGTTAACTCCCAAATGTGGTTCAGGAAGCAAAGCTGTACAGCCGGCACACTGTATCTGTCTAGCCTGCTCTTGGGTGATCTTAAACGGATGTTTTAGTGACCGAGCATTTTGGTGGTGAAGAGCATGAGACTACATGGCCTTTTCTATAGGGCTTGTAGGTGTAATGAAAAAGGCCTGAACTGAGAGACCTAGCAGTTGAGTAACCGCGTTCGCAGCAGCACTGCCTACAGACAAAGGTCCTGGAAGATCAGAGTGAGCTCTAATATGACCAATATACAGTGGCTGTTGTCTAGCAAGAATGGTCTGTTTTAATTGATGGAGCATATGAAACAGCCCCTCTGTGGTGGCTGAGCTAACATGAGCTGTCTCTATAACCTTATAGACACTAAAAACATAACGACTATCTGTGTAGAGGTTTAATGACTGGTGTGAAAACATATGTAAAGCCCAAGTAACTGCGGATAGCTCTATCTGCTGAGCTGAGCAATACCCTGTGACTTTGGTTAAGGTCTGAGTGGGAGTGTGGACAGCTGCTCTGCCATTGCTGGAACTTTCTATGAAAACTGTGACTGCTCCTGGAATGGGTTGAGCTTGTAACACTGAGGGAAAAATGAATGATGCAGACCTTGCAAACTGTAAGAGTTTATTAGCAGAATAATGACATCCAAGCTGACCAGGAAAATTTTCCAAAGCTATTTGCCATTCCGTGGAGTTTGCATATAACCAAGATTGCTGACTACTATTAAAAGGAACTATAATGGCCTGAGGCTCTTTTCAAAAGAGCTGGAGATATCTTTGTCTTCCCTTAGTAATAAGTAAAGCTGCTAACTCATAATATGGCTAAAGATGTTTAGAAGGAGTGCTCTTTAAATATAGACACTCTAATGGACCAGCAGGTTGTCAAATGACCCCTGTAGGTATAAGGTCTATATTACAAATGATGAGAGATACAGGTTGGGATGGATCTACTTGAGTAACCTGAGCCTGCTGAATGGCCTGTTCCACTCTGGCCAAGGCGAGTTTTGCCTCTGGAGTGAGACTCCGGGGGGAGGTCGGACGAGGCTCCCCCTGGAGGATGTTGAATAGTGGTTGTAACTCTCCAGTAATTAATCTTAAAAAAGGCCTAATCCAGTTAATAGCTCCAAGAAGTTTCTGAAAATCATTAAGTGTTTTAAGGTGGCTAGTTCTAATCTGTACCTTTTGTGGTTTAATTAATCTCTGAGTAATTAAATTACCTAAATAAGAAAATGGAGAGTTTTCCTGAACCTTTTCTGGGGTAATGACTAGCCCTACCTTAGTCAGATTATCTTTAAGGCTCCAATATATTTGATATAACACCTCCTTATTAGCATGTGAGATAAGGATATCATCCATATAATGAATGATATGAGCCTCTGGGTGTAATTGCCATATGGGCATGATGGCTTGACTAACAAACATCTGACAAATTGTACGACTATTGGCCATGCCTTGGGGAAGAACCTTCCATTGGAAACATTGCATGGGCTCCCTAAGTTTAGGAACGCTAAATACAAAATGTTTTGTATAATCAGGATGGAGAGGGATGGTGAAAAAGCAATCCTTCAAATCTATAACAATTAAATGATGATTTACTGGAATAGCTGTGGGGGAAGGAAGCCCAGGCTGTAGGCTCCCCATGACCTCCATAACAGCATTAACAGCTCGCAGGTCTTGCAACAGCCTCCATTTTTTGGATTTCTTTTTAATAACAAATATAGGCGTATTCCACGGGCTGGTGGACGGCTCTATGTGTCCAGCAGCAAGCTATTCCTGAACTAATTCCGTGGCTGCCTGAAGTTTCTCCTGAGTTAAGGGCCATTGGTCAACCTATACTGGCGTCTTTGTAAGCCACTTAATCTTAAGTAACTTGGAGTGGGCTGCAGGAGATACCAAGGCCCCTAGGAAAAATTTTGATATTCTAGTCCTGATCTGTCAGTCTTTGGTATAGTTTGTATGGGCTCCAGTCTGCCCTTTCCTGAGGTGCCTAATCTCTGGCCTGGGATATATCCCTGATTGAACATAATATTGGTGGCTGAGGAACTAAGACTATAAATCATGACTGATATTTGACTCAAAATGTCCCATCCCCAGAGGTTAACAGGGAGGCCTTCAAGGATGAATGGAGTAAAAGTTCCGGAATGTCCCTCAGAGTCTTTCCAAGTTAATATTCTGGAACTTTGTAAAGGTTCTGTTTTCATCCCTATACACTGGAGACTAGTTAAAGCCTCCTGTACAGGCCAAGATGATGGCCGATGTTGTTTGGAAATTAAAGGTACATCAGCCCCTGTATCAATGAGACCCTGAAATGTTTTTCCTTCTATAGTGAAGTTTAAAATGGGATGTTCTTGCCCTACTCTCTGGACCCAAAATGAGTCTGAGGACCCAAAGCCTCGGGACACTCGCGCATGCTGAGAGGCAGGTCTACCTGTTGTTACAGTGGAAATAAGCACGATTTGAGCTATTCTGTCTGTGGAAAGGACCTGAATGATGTCTCGGGAAGCTCCAGCCATAATTTTTATTTCTCCAGTATAATCAGAATCTATGACTCCCGGGAAGACTTGAAGTCCTTTCATGGTCCAGCTACTCCAGCTAAGAAGAAGCCCCACTGTATTAGGTGGCAAAGGGCCATAAACTCCAGTGGAGATGACCTGTGGACCCATTTGTGGGGTTAATATGAATCTGGAGGTGGGGTTGAGGTCCAGTCCTGCACTCCCTGGGGTGGTGCGGCATAGTTGTTGTACAGTGAGCTGTGTTGGCTTCCCCCAGGATTGCAGAACGGGTTGTTCCTGGACACTGGAGCTGTGAGTGATTGCTGGCTGTCTACTGACACTAGAGGCACAAGGGCTAAAGACCTCATTATTTGTCGGGGCCAGGGCTGGCCCTGTGTCCTGTTTCCTGGAAACGGTTGCCCATTGATGTCAAATTGAGACCTACAGTCTTTTTCCCATTGTTTTCCATGCCTGCATCTAGGGCAAATCTGAGTTGAGTGTCCAGACTCTACCTGGGGATTTTTACTAGGACATTTCCTAGTGAAATGGCCTGCCTGCCCACAAGAATAGCATACTCCCTCCTTACGATTTATCTCCCTGTTTTGTTGCAGTGTTGGGTTGAAAACCTTTTGTAGTGCCATGGCAGGACCATTGCCCTGAATATAAGATGGCCCTACATCTACACAAAGGCGGGTAAAATCTGAAACATTAGCTTTTTTTCTATAATGTTGTATTAGAGATTTACAGGTAGAATTGGCATTTTCAAATGCTAACTGTTTGGCAAGAAGCTGTGCAGCTCCTGGGTCATTAATGAGCCACCCTATGACTTGCAGGAGCCAAGAGATGAAGTCCTGATATGGCTCGTCTGGACGCTGTCTTACATGAGACAGATCCTCTGTCTTTGCCCCTGTGGTAGGAAGTGCCCTCCACGCCCTAGTAGCACAGAAATTAATCTGTTAATAAGCTATCAGAGGATATCCTATTTGATTATAAATACCTGCATAATTCCCTTCTCCCTTAAGCATCTCAGCTGTAATAGGTATCTGGTGTGCAGCAGTTCGCTCTGCCTGCTGCTCTCACTGGTCAACAAATTCCGCTTTCCAGAGTAAATGATCCCCTCCAGTTAGAGAAGCCTTAGTTATCATTATCCAATCTTTTGGAGTAAGAGGTGTGTTTGCTGAAACTGTCTCAAGCAATGCCAAAGTAAAAGGAGCAGTAGGTCCATACTGGGCAGTTGAGGCTTTGAGTTCCTGAAGCATCTTAAAAAGAATAGGCTCATGCTCCCTGAGCACCTGCCCTGGATTATTGGGGTCTGGACATTCTATTACCAGAAAGCAAAATCTTTGATACTCCCCAAAGTCCTCGCCTCTTTCCATAGCCTGCCTTAACCCCCAGAGAACACTCGACTCCAGAATCGTGCTCTGAGATATATTTGACAAGCTGCCATGAAGCAGACTGCTGCTGCCTTGAGCACAGCGGTGGCGATGATGGAGGCGGGTCCCAGAATGCGGGAAGCCCCTGTCGAGAACAATATGCAGTCCAGGTGGCAACAGCCGACCCCTCCTTCTCAGGGACCACATCCTCCTCCTCCTCAAAAGATTCCTCTGACTCAGCGTTATGCCTCCGCTGCTCTCTAACTAGTATCTGTTTCTCTTGAGATCTGGCCTCCTCAAACTCCTGAACAGCACTACTAAGTCTTTCCACTATAGGCTGAGACTGTGTTTCCAAAGGACAGAAAGCCTCTGGATTAGGATCGAGACTGTCCCGCACCAACTCCCAAAGCAAAAGCACATTGCTGGGAGACTTCCCAGGCCCATCGAGTGCCTGACGCTCTCGGAGCTGTGCACCAACCTTTTCCCCGATTTCAGAATCAAGAGTTCCTCCCTCCAGAAACCAAGGACAGGCATCCTTTACATAAGGAAAAAAATCTTCCAACTGATGAGCTTTAACAGGGCTGCCATGAGCCCGCAGCATAGATCTAAGCCATTGCAGATAAAGTTGATGGTCCCTTGACCCTGACTGTTCCATCCTTATGTCTATATGGGCTAATGACCCTATTTATAAGAGGGCTGATGACCTTTTATGTACAATGGACTGTTTGTCCTGACTGTTCTAATGTTTTACTCCTGCCCGAAATTAGATATAGAGATACCAGAGTGATCAGTTCTGCTCCTCCCCATATCGCACCCCGATTTTTCCCCTACCTTTTCTGAAGCGTAGCGCGCCTTCCTTCAAGGGATCTCCTCACTTACTGCTTCCTTCAATCCGTGCTCAGGTCCCTGGTCGGGCGCCAATTTGATGCGACCCGTGCATCAAACAAGCACTCCTGACTCATCATCCAGGAGTCTACCGAGAGGGTACCTGAGAGGATTGGGTGGGAGACTGGAAAAGAAAGAGATGAAAGCTGGGAACAGGGGATCCACCCAATGCTGATAGCAGAGAGTGGCCCTGTTTATTGTTTATACACAGCTTTTATAGCAAAAGTAACTTTCCTTAGGTAGGGGAGTTTTGGGAACTTGAGGGAATAGTCCCTTCCTCCCAGGGGACACCTCCCCCGAAGCTTTCTATAAGGTGTAGGGAAGCAATCTTCCCAGGGTTAAAGCAAAACATAACAAGCAGAAACTGTTAATAGGATGGCATTCCACTCTGTAGCTTTCAAGGCTGTTGGCTGTTTTCTCCTCAGCGGCCAACCTTCCCACGCTGCTCACCTGGGCCTGAGAGCCTGTCAGCCTGCCAGCTTTCAGGCTTAACCCTTACTATAAACCTCCAGCTCTCAGG